TCCTTCAGGCACGTATGCCAACCTTTGCTGTTATTGGAGTCCCGAATCAATCAGTCCCATATATAATTAACCTTTAGGTGGTGTTTGGTATTGGTCACTTCCCAAGAAGCATTAAAATTAAATTCAGCCGGCTTGGGTTAGGAAAATCAATTTTTGGGGTTAAAAATCAATATTTTTTTTAATATTGATTATACAATAAAAAATAATTATTTTTTATCCCTTATTACATCTTAATCACATGCTATAAAAGTTGAAATTAAGATATTTTATTTTCAATCAAAAGAGATTATTATTGAACTATTTAGATCATTAGTATTAAAAAATCAATGCTAGACAAGTTAATTACAAAAGAAATTTGATTGATTATATTGCAACTTTCTTTGGACATTTTCTTTCAAGATTTTTTATTAAGAAAAATTTTCTTAAAAAACTTTGAGACATAGTACCAGTCATTTTTGCGTGGCTTCCCCAAAAAAGTTCCTTAAAAAATGGGTAACGAAACACAACCTTAAGTTCAGTCCCCAGTCTAGGAGCCCGTCACCATCATCGAGCAAAATTTCTGTCAAACACACCATATATATATATATATATATATATATATATGTTTTTTGCTATTGTAGATCTACAATGACTAGTAATATTGAATTTAAAAGTTATTTACTAAAGATTAAATCTCTTTTTTGGTCCATCAACTATTGTATGGATCTCTGATTGAGTCCATCAACTCAAAAAATCTTTGACTTAGTCTTTAGTGTTTACCATTTTTGCCCCAAGTTGGTCATTCTGTTAAAAATCTCTCAACGTGTACTGTTAATTCACGATAAGATGATGACATGTCAAAATATTAACCCACGTAAAAGACAACATGGCAAAAAAATAATGGCATGGCAATAAAAATTAAAAAAATTCTTTCTCCTTCCTCATTCCCTTTCTTCTTCATCAATCAATTCTTCATCGTCATCATCAAACAACAACCACAAAAACAGAAATTTTTTATTTATTTTTGACAAAGAACCCAACGCTTGGGTTTGATCGAACCCAGCATTGGGTTCCTTTAAATTTTTTCTCCTTCCTTGTTCCCTTTCTCCTTCCTCATTCCCTTTCTCCTTCCTCTTCCTTTCCTTCTTCATCAATCAATTCTTCATCATCATCATCAAACAAGACCCATAAAAACACAGAAATTTTTTATTTATGTTTTTTGTCGAAGAACCCAGTTGGGTCAATTGAACCCAATGCCTAGTTCCAAGGAACCTAGGCGATCTAGGTTCAATTGAACCCAACACCGGGTTCCAAGGAACCCAGAGCCTTTGTTCGTCAAACCCAAGCAAGTGGGTTCCTTTAAAACCAACTCGATTCCAAGGAACCCAAGCTTGGGTTCTTTGAACCCAATGCTTGGGTTCGTCAAACCCAACGC